TTAATAATCTTCATCTACGTGAGTTTCTCTTTTCGTTTTAATTAGTGCATTGGCATCTATCAATTTGGATCACACTGGAAAAGTCACTAGATACGAGATCCTTCAAGTGTCACATCAGTTTAATCTGCTTTCAGTGTGGGTGTGTCCTGGCCTAATTCAATCATCATGATAGGCTCAGAAATTAGTGATTACTTCATGAAAATTCATATTGATGTCAACAGGTGTCACCTCGAGTTTACTTTGAGTGTGGTTTTGTTCTGGCCTAAATATTCAATCAGAGTAATATACTCAGAATTTACTTCACAGAAATTCTTATTGGGGAAGAAAAACCTATGATTAGCAATCTGCATTGTTACTGGTAAATCAAATGTTTAAGTAGACATCAATAAAGTGGAACTTCTTATATATCCACAATGAGATAATTCATGCTGTAGACTATACATAGAACCAAGCTCAAGGCATGTCATCCTACTCACTGAGAGTTGCATGTAAACTACATAAAATTACAGTCGAGCCTCACCATCTGCAGCATGGAAATGATGCATAAGAATTGAAGCTGGATGTGTTATTTTCAGCGGCAATGCTGCCAAGAGTATAAGGGGGCTGCTTTTATACATGTGATAGATGATTGAAGTATTTTGGGTCGATTAACATTTTTTTTTTTTCAACTTAATAGTATCAAAACACTGTTTCCAATGTAGAATGTTGTAGTCCAAAAACAATTACTGAGTTCACTCTCGCCATTCTCTTCCTGGTTCCCTATTCTTTTTCATTCTTTTCTTTTCTTTCTTTTTTTTTTTTTTTTCTTCTATGGACATTGCACTTCATCCATCCATAACCCCAAAAAACCACTCTCCACACACTTACCTACGCCACAAAAATGAAAAATTCTCTCAAAAACTCAGTGATTCACATCAGTCTTTGTTTCCTTCTAAGATAAATATTGCAGCAATAAATATGGACCAAATATTGACAAAAAAAGAGAATGGGGCTGAAATAATGCTCTTTTGTGCAAAATGAGGACACAAAACATTGAGGCTAATGAAGTTAACCAAAAATTTGAAAATAATATTTTTCTTTGTCAACATATCATATGGACTTCGGAGATTTTTTCACGTTGAAAGTGCTTAGCACTTAGAAACATTATGATTAAATGTTGTCATGCAATAAATGATTTTGTAGAGCCAACTACAAAATGACAATATATCTAGCTGAAATAAAAATTAACATGATATCCATGATTAATTTGCCTAACAGAGCCCCCTTCCTTCCCCCTCTTATTGTTGTGGATTCCCACCCAAGTAATTTTAGTAGGAATGTTGCAAAGATGAGCCAATTTAGATCAACCAAATGGAATAAACAGCTGAAACTAATCTGTTAGTAATGTCTGAAAAATACTGAATGTTGTACGTCAATCTCCTAAAGTAGTAAAACAAACCTGGATTCAAAACCTCTGATGTAGAGCCATTGGATACGTTATCATGCATACTGAAGGTGTGTGGCGGCTGAATTCCTGGCATGTTTACTTGGCCATCAA